AATATATGAAAATGATCAAGCAGATAAATTAGCATATTTAGGATCATTAAAAGAATATATAAAAGATTTTAATTTTTCATTGACTAATAGAGAAAAGATAGATTTTTATTTTGAGAAACAAAATAAAAAAGATGACTCAAAAAATGCAACTGATTCATATTTGCTAGAATTTACACGTATACTTCAATTATTAGAGGAAAATAATGACAAAAACAAGTTATTGATTGAGACAAGAAACAAAAATATTTATCTGATACTTAGTGAGAATCGAATCGAGAAATGGTTAAAGAATAATTGGTGTCATCATGGATCAATTGTAAAATTAAAAGCTCCCAAAGAAATTTGTATACGAATTAAAAATCTAATAGATGGTCGAACAAACGAAACAGAATTTGTATATGTAAAAAAGAGAAAATATAATATAAAATAAATAAAAATTATTTTACTTATTATATTCTTAGTATTTTATTTTATATTTTAGAATAATTTAATCAGCAAATGTTGTGATTATTGTCGAAAACGTCAAGCCTGCGCCCGATGGCATTCGTCAATAATCATCTACATTTCCAACAAAAAAGAACAGCTACAACACATACTTGTAGAAAGCTCTGTGGGGTTACAACAACAAGGATAATAAATTATTGAGGGATCATAGTGTTTTTTGTGCGTTTGCTATGATGATTCGAGGTGAGACTAGGTCATAACTATATCAATGATATGGGAACCTCATATCAAAATAATAACAGACAAAAAACATAGAATATATTTAATCAGTTTTTTTTAACCGATTAAATTTTTTTATTAGTAATCAAAATGTCTAAACTTTGTAATTTTGAACAGGATGATCAAGATTATAAGAAACAAAATTTTAATACCTGGTGGCAAGATGATTTTCAATCAAATTTTCATAGACCTATTATGTATCCTAATAATGAAGGTCATATTGTTGAATATCTTCAAGTTAAAGTTTTAAGAATAACCAAAAAAGGAAAAAATGAAAATTTCAAAGAGAATCAGAATTTTTTAGTAAATAAAGAATCTAAAAAGATTATTAGATCTCATAAATGGTACAAGAAAGAAGCAAATATTATTGACGAGAATGATCAAAATTTTGTTAATCACATGTTTCCAGATATCAAAATTGATAAGATCAAATTTAAAAATAATTATAGTTTTGAT